ATTTGAGCATATTTTAACAACTTTATAAAATATTAGTTATTTTAATTAGGAAAAATTGCAGTCGAAGTACCAACCTTTCAGTTAGTTGCAGACTCTACCCAAACCTTTGTTTTGTGCTAGCGGAGGTCTCAAACGTTTCAAAAATATACATTGGAGGTCCAAATGGACGGTTTCTGTCCATTTGACCGTTAATTGACCAAAAATAGTAGATTTTGACCAATTTTGACAAAATTGAAAGAGGCAAAATGATAACTATAAAATTTTCTCATTAAACAAATAATAAAAAAAAAAAACTGACAGGCACCACCACCACCCCCTATTTCCTTCCACAACCCCACTATCACATATTTCCCCCAAAATGCCACCATCACAATCAAACCAAAATAAACTCATCCAAATCTAGTTAGGTCGAATCAAAAGACTTCATAGTCGAATCAAAAGTCATCATTTTGGATTCACTGAAAATGGTAATTTTGCTTATTTGGTTATTGATTTTTTTTTTTTCTTTCGAGAATGAAATCGGATTGATTTGTTTATTGTTGTTGTCGATTGATTGATGAAGGGTGCACCTGAGATGTTCGAACAAGCAGCAAAGGTTTCTAAACGAATTGATAGATTATGTGTGGGCGATGATTGTTGGGGTTGTGAATTTGAATTTGTAGAGGTTTTTAAGCTTGATCGGTGATTTAGTGGTGAACTGGGTTCGAGAGTCATAGAAGGAGATGGTGTTGTCGTCAGTCCACCGGTCAACGGAGCTACAAGATGGTTGGTGATCTGGTGGTGAACCAGCGGCACGATGAGGGTTGAAGAAGGAGATGGTGGCTGAGTTTCAAATTTTTGGTTTGGGTTAGGGCAGGGCAGGGCAGGGAGGGGCGGGGTAAGGAGGGAGATGAATAGTGTGCTCAAAACATACGACCCATCACTGAAAAAGGCCAGGAAAAGCTTGTTGAGTGCTCAAAACATTTTCAATGTTGATGGCTGTGGGAGTTGAGAAGTCGTGTTGGTTGCACAGGCGGGTGGGGTGGGGAACAATATTATTTTCTTTTAACTATTACTTCAATTATTTGTTGGGGATAAATAGAAAAGTTACAATTTTGTCCTTTCAAACCTTCGCAGACACAAAACAATTGCAATTAACTGAAAGGTTTGGTATCTCGGCTGCAAGTTTCCCAATTTTTTAATAAGGATGTTTTCATCGGTCAGCTACCTTGGGAAGAAAGAGGAAGAAGACGGGATCGGAGAGATTACATGAGGGCTGGAAGGATATAGGATCATTTAATTTTTTCTCTCTCTCTTTTTTTTTAAACTTCGTGGTTCTTTCATAGCCTTTGTTCGGCATCGAAAATTTGGGAAAAAATATATTTTGAAATAGTAATTTTTTGAAAATGTGGGGTTAAAAATGAATTTTTTTTTTTAATTTACATGTAATATTATTTTATTAAAAAATATATAATTGATAAAAAGAGAAAAAAATTTAATTTTAATGAGAATCAATCATGACATAATGTTTCTCGAAAAAAGATAACTATTTAGAAGTAGAGAATGGGATGTGAGGCTCAAAAAATTCCCACATTTTAGACCAAACATTTTCCCTCCGTTCCACTAAACAGATAACGATGCCAAATCTTGAAAAATAGGAAACTCACATTGAATAAAATACCTTGAAAAGATTATTTTGTCTCTAATCAAATCATTAGCTGGAAATTCCTTCTATTCTTTGATAAATTAAATTCAATACTTAACATAAAAATCAATAAAATTTAGGATACTTTTAAACAAAATTAAGCCCATGTGTTGACACACGTTATTCCAAAATACATTCTTTCAAATTTTATTTTCAACCACACATTTGTTATCATATCTTTAATTAAGTCCATGTTTGTCTACCATTATTTCAAAAAATTATTTATTACAGTAAAATTTTCCATCACGCATTCACTCAATAAAATATTTTACACACAAATCAATAAAAGTATTTTAAATTTCAACCACACATTCTCCAAAAAATACTATTCATTACTATATTTTTCTCCAAATAATGAGAGACAAACACACCCTAAAATACATTCTTTCCTCGATAATATCAATCAAACACACCACTAAACATGCTTTAAGAGCTCGTTTGATTTTACTTTTTGTAGTGAAACTTTTCAAGGAATCTATTCTAAGTCAGCATTTTCAAGAAATTAATCGAAAAACTTTGATTTTTCAAAAAACTGTCAAAGGTGTGCCCTAAAAAAGCACCAATATCATAACACAATGATCGAGATTCATTCATTTGCAAAAACTTCTCTAACAAAAAATTACAAAGCAAATAAATTTCCAGAAAATGAAATTAAATTAAATTGGATTAATTTATCTACTATCGAAGTTACAATTGAAAATCCCATTTCAACTCAATTTGTCCATTTTTTCCTCTTTGAGCTCATCAAGTACTGGAACAAAAGGTACTACTATTACTGCTGACAGTACAACTCTAGGCATAAACAGAGCCACACGATAAAGCCATTAAAAGAAATGCCGCTTGTTCAACCTCTCCCAACTTTCTCCTTTGAGTATTTGATCTTGGTTTTTGTAGTGCTACATCTCTACCAAATGCCCATAATTTCTTCTTTAATGAATCTCCGATCTTATTATTGGTACTCTCGCCACTGCTGCTGGTACTGCTTTCATTGCTGTGGGTACTATTCTTGGTGGTTGCATATTTCTTTGATTTCTTGTCTTCTTTGTTCACTCCCATTAAAGCCCTCCTCTTCTTCCTGCTCCTGATCCCACACGCATTGCACAGCGACTGCACATAGCAAAAGATCAAGTAAATCAGATCACATAAATTAGACGACGCTTATTGGTCGGATACCATCATTACTTATCCAAAAAAATACGTATACATATATGTATCTATATATACCTTGGGACCAGCAGGACCACCTCTCCAGAGGGGGGTTTTGGAGGTGCCACAATCAACACAAGTTTTAACCTGGATTGTAGAATCAGATGAAGCCTTATCACAAATTGGATTTTGGGTGTTCATGTCTTCAGAATCTGATCTCTGTTTAAAAAATCAAATTAATCAAACTTCATCATATCAAACTACCAATTGAACTTAATCAAATCATAAAAGCTAAGCTCGTGAACTTGATCACTTACTTTATCGCTCAGATCCAACATCTGTGAGCAAATACTGAAGGATTTTCACCAATCCGGGATGAGATTTAAGGATCAAACAGCTCGAAACCACTTGATCAGATCAAAGATAACAAAAACTACAGATCCAAGTGACAAAAAACTAGCTAAACCCAGATCAATAACCCAAAAAACACCTAAAACAATACTACAATCACTCTTCACCAAGTAAAAACCCAAACCCTGGATAAATACCAACTCTATATCTACACACAAATATGTATGAATAGAGCAAAAAGGGTTTAGAGGTTACGAGAAGTGTAGATGTTGTTTTAGTGAGTGAAGAAGAATTCGGCTAATATTGCATTGAAACCGACATATACAGAGAGAAAGGGGGACCGACTGAGATAAAAAGGGGGCGGAGGGAAAATATTTTGGGAGCGTGTTTATATGGGAGTTTATGAAAACCCTAAGGCGCGCGGGGAGAGTGAAAAGACGGAAAAGGGCTTGAATACAAATATTTTGATCAAAACAGTCCACCCGCCAAATTGTTGTGGACAAGTGCAAAAAGGGCGCCATGGAATTTTTTGGATTGGGTAATTATGGAATTTTGAGGAATTATTTGGTGTTGCCGCCGTATAATGTTTCTAGGGTTTTCTTTTCCCACCTATCATCTTGACCGTCCACTTTTCCACAATTTGATAATATTTGAGAAATATATGATTAAGAAATAATTATTTAATGGAACAAAAGTGAAAAAATCTCAAACTTTTTTTTTTATATACTCATTTTTAATTATATATTCATACAACAAATATTCTGCACATAAACCTAAATATTTTTCTTACTTTTTAATTACACATTTTTGCAAAAATAATTATTAAAAATTCTATTTTTTTTCGAACAATGATTGTCAAACAGGGCAAATTTGACTTTCATAAAATGTACTTTTATCTTTATATATATATAAATATATGTTTATTGAGCACATGTTGATGAAATCGCACTAAATTATGACGAGGTTTCGAATCAATTGACAAAGTTGATAATTCAGTCCTTGTTTGTCTCCTAGTTTTTCAATTTTTTTTCTATATACTCATTATCAATCATACATTCGTATAATAAATTATTTTACATGTAAATTTAAAAAAATTTCCTACTTTTGAACCACGTGGAGAAGCTTTCAAAATAAACGTTTTTAAATAACTCAAAGAAATAGAAGACAAAACTGTATGAAAAAAATAATAATATATTGTAGATGTTTATGTTACAAAATGATATTTGAAGAAATTTGTATATTTGGAATATTAACATTTGATGATAATTCAGTCCTTGTTTGTCTCTTATTTTTTCAATTTTTTTCTATATACTCATTATCAACCACATATTCACACAATAAATTATTTTACACGTAAATTCAAAAAAATTTCCTACTTTTGAACCATATGGAGAAGCTTTCAAAATAAATGTTTTTAAATAACTCAAAGAAATAGAAGACAAAACTGTATGAAAAAAATAATAATATATTGTAGATGTTTATGTTACAAAATGATATTTGAAGAAATTTGTATATTTGGAATATTAACATTTGGGCAACAATTTTTTTTATTTTACCAAAAAATATAATATTTCAATCAAAGTAAAGACACGTGTCTGAAAAATCATTCCAGCCATAATTGTGTTGTGTTTTATGGCCGTTAGTTACTTAGTTAATGATTTCAAAAATGATATTAATGTACATATCTGTATGACTGATGGTAGTTAATAAAAACAATAAAAATTGAAATTTTTTTAATGGAAAATGACATTTTCCACCCAAAAACCATTTTTTAGAGTGTTTGATCGCCTTTTTTCAAATGAAAAATATTTTTCAACATTTCAAAATGTGAATAATTTTCCTTGTTTTTGAGTAATACATTTTCTTGGGGATATGCTTTTGTTTTTCATAAAACAAAGAAATCATTTTCTTTTCTACGAGACATTTTTCATGTCAATCAAATACACCCTTAAAGTTTAGACAACAAAGTTCATAAGCCACTCGGCTATACGGTTTATAAGCTATTCCTCCAAATAAAAATGGTAATTATATTAAATACACCCTTAAAACATTTCTCATGCCAATCAAATACACCCTTAAAACATGCGTTTTTTTTTTATTATTTGCAACACATCTAAATTGTATTTAAGGTTCTCAATTTTTGTTCACTGAAACAATTATATCCTCAATATTTTTAGATGCGTTTTTATTATTGTCCGGTGTAAAATTGCTTGTAAATGGTAATATCAAAATCATTTTTGCATCCACATTTACGTATCGGTGAATGTAAATTCAAATTTTGTTATAATGAAAAAAAAATTCTAAATCCACTTTTTTTCCTCATGCGGATGAAAAGAAATATGTAGATTTACGTCATTCTTTGCATTTTTTGCTGAAAAATACACTTTGCTTTTCATTTGCATCTCTCTATTAGAGAGGTTTTCAACCACTTCAGATATCTAAATCACAATTTATATTTATTTTACACCACGATTGGAGATGTTTTTTTCGTTTCTAATAATGATTTTGTCCGAAAAAATTGTTTGGAGGACTAAAACGTTTTATACTTCATCATATTTTTAAAAAAATAATAAATGCAAAAGTGTCAACAGTGTTTTTTCCCTCTTTCTAAAGCACCCAAATAAATATATTTTGACATAAAATCTTCATTAAGAACCTACATTAATTAATGGAAAATAAGATTAGAACTTGGCTAAATGACTTAGGGACATAAATGTTACAATAAACAAAGATTGAAAACTTTAAGTGTAATTAAAATGTGGTGTGAATTTAGTTTCAAAAGAAAAAAAAATGGAATGTTTATGCCCATTTTGCACCCTTCGCATAATCTCCTTCCTTCTTCTTCTTCTTCTTCTTTTTTTTTTTTAATTTTCTTTTTGAATCAGGATATTGTCTTTTCTAACACTTCTAGGGCCTGTTTGAGTCCCATTTTATGTGTGAAATGTATTTTGAAATAGTGGATTGATGGAAAATGTGTGATTAAAAATGAAGGAAAAGTTTTTAAGTCCCGTGTAATATTATTTTATTGAAAAATGTATGATTTAAAAAAAATGTATCTTGAAAAAAAAATGGAGATCAAACAAGGTGTGTGAGACGTATCCTTTGACATGTCCATATAAACAAATGCAAAGCCTAAACCATTTTTACTAAGGCCATGTTTGATAGGCCACATTTTTCGGGGAAGTAAGAAAATATTTTTCACTTTTCATTTTTTTGGCTGTTTGATAGGCGAAATTTTCCACAGAAAATATTTTTCGGATTTTCCCCACAAGTGTGCAATTTTCGGATTTTTGATGAAAATGTTTTCCCGCCTTTCTGGTGGGAAAATATTTTCTCGGCTGGCTGGAATTTTTTTTTTTTTTTTNATTCACATTAGCATAGAAGTACTCTAAGAAAATATAGAATAAGATCTTAACCTACAATTGTAACTTAGGCTGTGTTTGATAAGCCACATTTTTCGGGATAGTAAGAAAATATTTTCCTCTTTCCACTTTTTTGACTATTTGATAGGCGTAATTTTCCACAGAAAATATTTTTCGGATTTTCCCCACAAGTGTGCAATTTTCGGATTTTTGATGAAAATGTTTTCCCGCCTTTCTGGTGGGAAAATATTTTCTCGGCTGGCTGGAATTTTTTTTTTTTTTTTGGCAATGAAAACAAATGTCATAACTAATGCTAAAAAAAAATTCACTTTAATGGATAATTTTCATGTAAAACAAAGTCAAACGAATACTAAACTTTGATAAAAAAATGATTTTTTAGGAAACAATTTTTTTTTCCTTTGTTTTTTTACTTTTGGCAATGGAAACAAATTTTATAACCAACTGTGAAAAAAATATCACTTTAATGGACAATTTCCATGTAAAACAAAACCAAACGAATAGAAAATTTAAAAATTTTCCTGGTGGAAAATTATACCAATCAAACACACTTGAAATTATTTTCTCTGCGAAACATTTTATAGACAAATCTTTTCCCTGTAAAACATTTTCTTTTCACCTATTTTCCACAATTGCAATCAAACGCACTCTAACAATAATTGGAATGGACATTTCAATTGTAAAGTGCAATATATTGTTTACAATTTGGACAAATGAGATAAGACCACCAAATTTTAGAAAACTTCCTTCTAAATAGTCTTACTAACATAATCTTCCGATAAGATTTAATAACAACTAAAAAAAACTATCTAATGTAAAGAAGAAAAATTTTGTCATGTAAAAAATAACAATAAAAAGTATTTTAAGTTACCGCAAATGTTTGAAAAAAATAAAAATAAATAAGTTTTTGTAGCTACGTAAGCTATCAGCGATTGCGTGCATCTATATCTGTATTGCAGGTTTGATGACTCATAAAGACAGTGCATTTTCTGTAGTTTGGGATTGAAGTTAGGCTAAAACCATTTGTACATGAGTTGTTTTGACAGGAGATGTTGAAAACCTCTCACATGAAGTGATGGCCCATGTGAATAAAAAATTTAAAAAAAAAAAAAGTGGGTCCTCCCATATTGAGTGTTGGTCATCCATTTCTGTCAACCATTCATTATACAAATAGCTTGGTTCAATTATCGGTAATTGCCTGCATCACCAATCACAATGCAGATTGGTGATTTATAAAGACAATGTATTTTCTATTAGGTTGGGGTGAAACATAGCGGAAGATAGGTGAGTAGCCTGGAGCCACAAGTATAATAATCATGTTTCATCGCTAAAAAATTTTGCCCACATCCTTGACATAATACAATATGATATTTTATCATTGAACTATTTAAAAAATAATCAGCTGTTGCACCCAATCATCTGCTACTAACACTGCATTTATCAAGTAGGTGGACAAATTTTTAAGTTGAAAGTGTCTTAATTCTAAGTTTAAGGGATGAGCATAGAAAAATTGTGATGAATGAAGAAATGTTTATAAGAAACGAAGTCATAGATGCGTAGGTTTATGGCCATATCAACTACTCTAATAGCACTCATCCATGAATTGG